CGTGATCCGCTGCGCGTCGAGGGGCGAGCCGTCGAGCTCGCCACCGATCGCGCGGTAGACCTCTCGTGCGTGGTGTCGAAGGTGTCGCCGCCCGACCTCGCCCTGCTTGCCCAGCCGCTGCCCTGCCGCTCCGCGTGGAGGCCCGTGTCGGCATCTGGTCGCGGTTGGAGTCGTATAAGCAGCGGACCGGCGGCAGGCGGCGGGCGAGCGTCAGGGCGGCGTTGCGGGAACACTTCTTTTCCTCTTCATCGTGGGCGTAGTCGATCGCGCGCCTGGATCTGCAGTTAGAATGGTCTACAAATCCTATCTTCGGGCGAAACTATCTGACGTGGGTTTTCGTCGGGCCCAGAACGACGCGTTGTTATATCGCGAGCTCGCGTTAGTTCATTCTCGACGCCTGTGGATTGAATGGAGTGATTATTGCTGCTGACGCTACGGTCACCGGACGTCGACCAATCCCGAATATTTCTCTCTTTGGAACACTAGCGATGGTTTCTCTTTTTTTTTTTTTTTATATATATATTTTCTTGGATTCGGTGAACCCCGGTTCGCCATCGGCACGGGTGCTTCCACTCATTGGCGCGTCCCGTGCTGATACGTGTTTTTTTTTTTTTTTTCGATGCGTTGGATACGGTGAACTCCACTTGCCAACAGCGCGGGTGCTTCCACTCATTGGCGCGTCCCTCGCTGAAACTGACAACACATATGCAGCACGGGTGCTTCCACTCATTGGCGCGACCCGCACTGATGATACTTGTACGCAGCGCGGGTGCTTCCACTCATTGGCGCGTCCCTTGCTGAAACTGACAACACATATGAGCACGGGTGCTTCCACTCATTGGCGCGTCCCGTACTGATACGTGTATGACTTCGTTTTCGATGCGTGGAGATCGGTTAATTCTACTCGCCCAACAGCACGGGTGCGCCCACTCATTGGCGCGTCCCGTACTGATACGTGTACGGCGTTTTTGTTCTTTCTTTTTGAGATCGGTTAACTCTACTCGCCAACAGCACTCATTGGCGCGTCCCTTGCTGAAACTGACAACACATATGCAGCACGGGTGCTTCCACTCATTGGCGCGTCCCGTACTGATACGTGTACGACTTCGTTTTCGATGCGTTGAATTCGGTTAACTCTACTCGCCAACAGCACGGGTGCGTCCACTCATTGGCGCGTCCCGTGCTAATACGTGTACGGCGTTTTGTTCTTTCTTTTTGAGATCGGTTAACTCTACTCGCCAACAGCACGAGTGCTTCCACTCGTTGGCGCGTCCCGTGCTGAGGCTGACAACACATATACAGCACGGGTGCTTCCACTCATTGGCGCGTCCCGTACTGATGCATGATTTGTGGTATTTCCTACCGCTGCGTTGAATTCGGTTAACTCTACTCGCCAACAGCGCGGGTGCTTCCACTCATTGGTGCGTCCCGTGCTGATACATGTACGGCGTTTTGTTCTTTCTTTTTGAGATCGGTTAACTCTACTCGCCAACAGCACGAGTGCTTCCACTCGTTGGCGCGTCCCGTGCTGAGGCTGACAACACATATGCAGCACGGGTGCTTCCACTCATTGGCGCGTCCCGTACTGATGCATGATTTGTGGTATTTCCTACCGCTGCGTTGAATTCGGTTAACTCTACTCGCCAACAGCGCGGGTGCTTCCACTCATTGGCGCGTCCCGTGCTGATACATGTACGGCGTTTTGTTCTTTCTTTTTGAGATCGGTTAACTCTACTCGCCAACAGCACGAGTGCTTCCACTCATTGGCGCGTCCCGTGCTGAGGCTGACATCACATATGCAGCACGGGTGCTTCCACTCATTGGCGCGTCCCGTACTGATGCATGATTTGTGGTATTTTTCTACCGCTGCGTTGAATTCGGTTAACTCTACTCGCCAACAGCGCGGGTGCTTCCACTCATTGGCGCGTCCCGTGCTGATACATGTACGGCGTTTTGTTCTTTCTTTTTGAGATCGGTTAACTCTACTCACCAACCGCACGAGTGCTTCCACTCATTGGCGCGTCCCGTGCTGAGGCTGACATCACATATGCAGCACGGGTGCTTCCACTCATTGGCGCGTCCCGTACTGATGCATGATTTGTGGTATTTTTCTACCGCTGCGTTGAATTCGGTTAACTCTACTCGCCAACAGCGCGGGTGCTTCCACTCATTGGCGCATCCCGTGCTGATACATGTATGACTTCGTGTTTCGTTGCGTTGAGATCGGTTAACTTCCACTCGCCAACAGCAACGGACGAGTGCTTCCACTATTGGCGCGTCCCGTGCTGGTGCGTGTCCTTGTTTTTTTTTTATTTTCATTGAGATCACTTCCGCATAGACAATCCTACGGCAGGTTGACGAGTTTTTGGCATGCATCAATTGCTGTCCGGGCGTTTTTGGTCGCTTAATCGTCGATGGACGTGACGTATTCTTATAGAAGGTTTGTGTCACGGCGGCAATAAATTTGACGTGATGCCCCTCGAGACCGTGATGCACTCACATGGACCGCTACCTGACGTTCCTCGCGAGTTCGAACCTCGCGTGTCACATCCACCTCCCCCCCCTATTTTTTTCTCATCTTCTTTTTCCTTATGCATACAGCACGTAGTTCGCTGTCTCGTTTTTTTTTTCTCGTCTTCATTGTTTTTCAGTCTTTTTCTTTGAGTCTTTCTCTCGCATGCATGTGTTTTTGCTTTTATCCGTTCCCGTGAATGCTGTTGAATGCACTTTCCGATTACGTATGCGGCCGCTTTGTATGCCATGGGACTTGTCGATACCATCAGTGGGGACTTGTCAATACCATCCGTGGAGACGATTGCTTACGTGAGTGGGCATATTATCGTCGATTCCTTCAGCTATATGCCCCTCTGTGCGCGGCACAGACAAGATTGTACCGGCAAGTAGTCCCTAGTAAGCCGGGGGAAACAGAAAACAAGGCACCTGCCTCATGTGCATAATCGTGACAGCATCATGCCCTACTGCCGCGGGTCGATTGGTTATGTCCGATGCCGCAGGGTTCCTCCACCCCGTGCAGTACAATGGCTGCTATCAACCGCGACAAGTCAGCGTGCGACCATACAACAGGCCCCGCTCTTTCTTTTTGCCGTTGAATTTTTTCTTCAGAGAGAGTACGTCTGGTTGGGACGAACCGCATTTTTTTTCTTCAGCGAGAGTACGTCTCGGTTGGGATGAACCGCATCCCATGTTTGGGAAGGGACCTATCTGAGCGGCGCGGCGAGCGAGACTGCGTTGGCTTGCCGCCGCTTATCTTACTGCACCCTCCCCCCTCGTGCTAAATGCACGCAGCGGTGAGGTCACAAGAGTAGCGGGACGCGAATAGGAACACGGCCGACACGATGGATGTTGGACACGAGTACACACCTTTATATGGAGAGTCGCGTGCTGGTCACTTCCCCAATGCTTGCGCCGTGTCCCCGTCCCCGCCCTTTTCTAAACTGCCGCCGCTACTGCGTTAGGCGGCTGCTGCTGTCCTTCCGTTGCTTCACGCGCTCTGTAGCTGTCACACGTTACCCGACTTTGCTACAGCCCCTGCGTGGACTCGATCACGGAATGACACCCCCAACTATAGACTAATAATTCCAAACACCGTGACCCTGGGTTTCCGGTAGAAAATGAAGCCAAATTCTAATTCGACTGTTACAAAATAAACACCAGTTTATTCTATCTGCTTCGACGAACAAACCTTCCTATTATTGGTTTCCGTACTGTTGATCTTATTTCGGTTGGATACCAAATCGCGCCTTGGAGGAATTTTCTGGTGTCCATTTTATTTCTTTACTGTTAAAAAGGTGTACCCCCAGTTGGCTTGTGACCAAGGAAGGTGTCCGCGTCAGTTGGACCAGTACGGACATAAGAAGGTACTGAGTGGAGACCGGAACGATTTTTAAATGTGAAGACAACAACACAACAACAACAACAAGTCCGATCAAGGGAGGGGGGTTATAAACACCAACAGGCGGGGGCATGGTAAACGGGGCACGAAAAGGAGGTTTTCAAGACATTCCTGTACAAAGGAAACGGGACCGAGCTCTAGCTTGCTCGGTTCCCCCTGTTATCGGTGGGCGAGGTCCGTGCTTGTTCCGCGCTTGCCCCTATTCGCGCTGTCCACCCGAGCACAGGCAGATAGACGCAGCGCAACTTCACTGTTGAACCCTACGTATCGCCCCGCGATACGACCTACAGTACCCTCGAACTGATACCATTCTCCATCGCATACACACTACAGTTGTAGACTGTAATGTAGTTCTCCCCGTTTACCCCTGCACACCCCTTTGTCGAGAGATCTCAAAGGGGGAGACAGGCATGCCATTCTTCGCGAAGCAACACAGGCAAATAAGATGGGGCCAGAGGAGGTGGCCCCAAAAGTCGATGGCGCTATAAGGCCTAAAGGCATCGAACGCCCAAACCGGCTGACCAATGGAAATATTATGTGTTTGTTATTTTTAGCATCGACCGCGGTAACCGGCTAACAATTAGAAGACGTCAGTATCAGTGCGGTTGAAAACATAAAAGGCATTCTAGAGGGCATGTGTTGGTGGGCTGATTTATAGTGATGAAGAAAAAAGTAGAAATCGACTCAAGCATTGCAGTTTGTTGCCTCCTTGAGGAAATAGCCCTCAAGTGCAGCACTCGAAGGCCATTCTGGGGGAGGAAAGCCTAGCCAGCAGTGGTCCTTCACGTGGTTGCTTCGCTTTTCGCTGTTTTTCAAGTTTCGGATTTTCGAAGGAGTTTTGGTTCCTCGCCTGCCACACCACGCGTCAGCGTATGGGGTGCGGCTAGAACTCGAGCCCGGGCCGACTATTTCAATCGTTGTCGAAACTTTGTGCCTGACCAAGCGTCGTTGGGGGTGTCTACTGTAAAGAGCGTGACTCGATAACGATACTACTTGGGGCCAAACGATCGATATTACACCCGATCAAGCATCGAGAGGAGTAGCGCTCTTTGCATGTGTGCTCCCTTACAACGCAAAAAAAGACATCATGGACGGCACAGGAAGTACCCAAGCGCGTGTAGACGACATAGGCAAGCACCGCAGAGGGAAGGTGGAAACAAACTTCTTGCATGGCGTTGCTCCTATGTGACCCAGGTTGGTGTGTCCAAAATTGTACCGAACGGTGTAGTCCAACAAAGCAACAGCTATCCTTGCACACGTGAAACGTTGCGGGAAGCTGGAGGTGATATCTATCTGCCCCTCGATTTCGACTGCTACTTTGTCGTTAGCTGAAAATCCAACGGTAGTACATAGTCGACTCGCCAACGGTCTTTTTGCTGGAGATCCCCTCCGTGCGACATAACGTTTGCGTTCTACTGCTCCGCCGGCATCGATGTGATTGGTTCCCTCACCTGCGATAATAATTTCAGGTGGAGAACTTCTTCGTGGGAGGTCGGAGCTTGCCCCTCTTCGTCATTGCGCTTACTCTCGCCTCCCAGAGTATCGACTCCAACGCCACCCTCGGCAACGCCGACCTCGCCTACAAATTCCAGTGAGACCCACGACCGAATCTCAATCGTTTTCCAGTCAGGGCCCTTTGCGCATCTTCTTTCCAGCTCGCACGTGGTTCTTCACCATGATGTTTGCGAGTACACGATGCAGGTTGATGCAAACAGTACAATGCTGGCTGTCCACAAGTGCCAGTAAGGCATGCAACCTCGTTGCCAGCGTAGCAGGTCTCCGCGGTGTATGCTACATCGCTTTTCCGGTTGGTCATGGCGGGAGGTGTTGTCGCGGTGGTCGTGACACCTGGTTTTCGTGAGAGCCGCTCTTGTAATGTTTTCGACCACAACAGGTGGGCTACCGAATAATTTCCTTGCCTTGTCCGCGCGGACAGAAACATGTAGCATGCATTCGCACCTCTTGTGTGTCACGTTCAGGTGATTGCGCCACAAACGTTAGATCGGCGGAAATTGCACCACGGTATTCCTTGCTGTAGGTGCCCCGAGTATCACTGTCAGCGTTTCGTCGGCGTTTGTAAATGCCGTGAAACGTCGTAACGAGGGCAGAGCGCCAAAAGCGTCTTGCGCTCCCATCCGACAGAATCCATGGTTGCTGTATGGCGTGTTTGCGCATGTAGTTTCGTGACAAAAGCGGAGGGTGATCTTGGTTTGGTGTTTTACGGCGTCAAGTTCGCAGGCATTTCGAGCTTTTCCTCATTTGCCGTAAATGCACTGCAACTGCCGTATTCTCTACCGCCCGTAGTGGTCAAGGTTGCTCCACGGTTACAGCGAGTGACATCGACGCCCTTCTCTCAACCCTGCTGCCGTGTGCAACCCCAACTCTTTCCAGCTACTGGGATGGGGCTGTCCTTCCTATGGGACTTGGTCTCAGCCTGGTCATCAACGGCCTGTTCATTGCACGCCACATCAACGAGGTGCAACGTACAGAAATAGGGGCTTAACGCCTACTTTCACTTTTTTTCGGGTTGCGCCACTGCTGTGAAGCGGTGCGATTGGATAATTTTGGACATCATCGGCGTCGTGGGGAGTCGGCTGTGCGAAGTAGTGTGGTGGTGTCGCCTGGGTGCAAGCTCATGCCATTGGGAGTTACCCGAGGGAGGCTCTCACCAAAAGAATTTGGTTTTCGCGTATGCCTCTCTCGCGATGTAGGTGGCGTGAGCGAGAAGTTGAACCAATCACGCCTGGCTAACCGTGCGACGGTATCCTCTGATATTCCTAACCCCCATCCTCAACGCCGTTTGTGTACCTCTCGAACAGGCCCAATGCCTCACTCTGCCTGACTTTTACGGGAAGGCCTGGGGTCCCGCCGTGGAAGTGCTGGTATCCCTTTTGACGTGTATCTCTTTCATCTGCCTCCTCGCGGGAAACCTGGTGAGTGCTCTAACTGCGTCGTGTGAGGTTCTTCAACCCCGCGAGTGCTCCCACCTCGTACTGTTGAGTTCTTGCTCTTGTTGCTGTCCATCTCAATAAAGCTCGCCACCGATTATGAACTTGTCGACCAATCAGGTGGGCCTGTCGATCATCATCCGCTTCCTGTTCGGCGGAGAGCTTGCAACGAGTGTGTTCATCGCTGGCATCGTCACCATGATCTACACGGGCGCCGGCGGCCTCCTTTCCGTCGCCTACACGGGTGCGTTTTTCCCGCCACCCTTCTCAGTTTTTTTTGTGTCAAGTAACCATGCTGGATAATGCATGAAATCGGGGGAAGTTGGGTTAGGGTTAGGGAAAGAGATAGGGTATGCGTACCCCCTCCCTGCTCTATTTCCTCGTAACAAACTCGCCAAGATATTGAGCCAGTCGAAGCAAGAAATAAATAGACTGCAGGCCTGTTGACTCTCCATAGCAGTTGTCAACGAAGCAGGCCGCAGGCACGCTCAATTTTCGCTCAAGGGTATGCAACTTCCACCACAAATTATGCCCCCGCTCCCGCCGATCTCCACGCCAGACCGACCGTTTGTCTTGACCTTGATATAACAGTCTTGTCGTCCCCACCCCCAAACCCTTCTCATAGCCACATGTTTGCTTCCCCTCACGCCCCAACCTCTTGCCCAAAACCCGCATCGCATGCATCCAACGTCCCCTGACTGCGCATCCGTTGTCAAGTGTCCCGAACTTCGCCTCTGCCTGTGTCCCTACTCTGTATGTATAATCACGGTAAAACATCAGATGTTGCGCAGGCCTCTCTCGGCCTTCTCGGACTCTTGACAACCTCCGCCTGGATGCTAAGCAACAGGAGCCCCGACCACCCCAGCCCGAGCATCGGCTTCCCCGGCTATCTCTACCCCGATGACGCCACGTGCGAGGCCTACGAGGTGTGCAGTGTAGTGGGAGGACTCGGGGTATGGCAAGGGAGAAAGGCTGGGGTGTGTGGCCGTAGCACCGCGCGGGTCCCGCCCTTGATTCGTACCAATGCATTTTTTCGATGCTCTTGTCCGCTCTTTTTTCCACGTTTGTTTTTCGATTTGCCTCATCTCACGTAACAGGGGGTGCCCGCCGTGTACACAGAAGGGGCATGCATGTACAACGAGGACGTCTGGGGGGCCGGCGGCGTGGATAATGGCGCCTACCCTTTCGGAGACAAAGACGTACGTCACATGTCTAATAATATGTCTGCGTTCGGTTGGCCGCCGCTAACGAAAGTTGTTAGAGCCGGTGGTGGGTGATTGCTACCGGTTTGGAGACGCTACCAGCCTACGACTACTTAACCTTGCGCTTGATCGATTTGGAGCACCAAACCCTCATCAGCGCACTATTTTCTACCTGGTAAACTTCCTGCCGTGCCCTGGCTAGATGGCGGATTGGGATCCGCTGTTCGTTAGGTGTGTGCTGGTTCAGGTTCCAGGTACCGGCATGCCCTCGTTCGCTGCGTACCAATGCTGTTTCCCGTTGCGTGCCTCAGGTGTTCAACGACGGCATGATGGGCATCGATGCCTACAACCCGTTCCCCAACGCCATTCTCTTCAACTGGGCCACTATCTTCGTGCTTGGGTTCGGCAACCTTGCTGCACTTGACTTCCAGGTACATTGCATCACACGGTATGCTTGCCCACATTCCTGTTGTTTTTTGTTGCTTCCCCTCTTCTTCTTTCCTCATGTCTGCGGTCTAACTTTCATACCGTCTTCGCCCACGCGCACGCGCTTGAAGCACTTTGGAACCAACAGTACTATATTTCTTGCTTTTCCTTCGGTACATGTGTGTTTCGCACGGGCTTTCCATGGAGAAATGAAGTTGCCGCGCGGCACCTCCCCGTCCCTCGTAGGTTGTCCAGCTTCGCTTCCTATCGTCTATGTCGGTGTATCGCTTCGCGCCCTCAAGTTGTAGTCTAGCGGGTGGCCCCGCAAGCCTTCGAAAATAGCAGCTAGATTGGGAATACGAATCTCGGGATGCATGGTGTGCCGCCGTTCTTATCTACCTGTGGCGTTTGGTCGCGAGTATGGACCTGAGCCACAGCACTACTCAACGTTCTCCGCCTTGAAGTCGTGAAGAGTGAACGGTTGCCCTGTGGACGATTGTGTTGTGACTCTAGATTAGAGCTCTGCAGTTCGATGACAAGCACGACGAGTGGATTTGATAAGCGGTGATGAAGTGCTGAACCTTTTACCCCAACGCTGTCACCTCGCTCGCTGAAGGTGTGATGTTGCGTTTCATTATCATTGCCCGTCGGCCGCGCTGTGAGCCGGCCAAAACGAATGCGCGCGTCTCAGCGGAGCACATCTTTTAGACTGGGCGTGCGTGTTTCATAAACACGTGCCAGATCCGATGACTACGCCTTCCGATATCGTTGATGTCCGGTAGGGTGTGTGGAATGGAACACTACCATATTGTACATCCTGCACATTGGCGTAGTAGCATGGCTTCCTTTCTAAAATCTGATGGCTCGAGGGACACAACGTGACATAAAAGTTTCGCATCGCCGACCCATCTGTCGTTCGCCCCCGGGCCCCTATTGAAGATGTAATTCGTTGGCGACGAATCTTTTTCTGGTTCCTGTTAACGTCTATGCGCAGGCTCGCTGCATGGCTGCCAAATCACCCAAGATTGCCACTATGGGCAACTTCATCGCTGCTGGATTGACGTTCATCGTGGGCATCACCTTCTCTTTCATGGGTGGCTACACCCGTCTCAACTACGGCCCTGACAGCCAGTTCGCGTCCTTTACGGTGAGCCAACCGGTCCAGTCACGTAACGCCTAACTCAACGCTTGGAACTGGTACTTGTTTCGCCATTCCCCAATCCAACCAATTGTATCTCTTCACTGAATGAATCCAGAGGGTTGATCGCACTTAAATGGCCAATACATCGAAATTGACCGTCCCATGAACGGAAAGAAATCGATTTTCGAATCACATGAAAATCCTTTTCCATGTCTAGGCGATTTTGATCGTAGCCTACCACACTTCGAATCGATGTTGCCGTCCTTATGTCAATGCTTGCATGCCAGGTCGACACGTGCTCCAAGTTCCTAGACCTTCCCACTTGCGCTGCCTGGGAACCTGACTCCACCGCCTTCCTCAAGCTCACCACTACACAGGTCAGGCGCGCGGGTGGTTGCTGGAGTGTCAAAAACACCACACTAGAATGACATGGAATATACCTAAATCTCAGACTTTGTATGTTCGTCTTGTTTTGTTCAGGTATTCAGGGGGTGGGGTTACCTTGGGACTAGGCCTGGTGGATTGTTTGCTCGAAAAGGATTATTCCTGCGTCGGTATGGTTGGGGAGTGAACCAGGTTCGCTTGTAGTGTAGGCTGTGTGGAGGGTGGTCTGTTTGTTGCGTGTGTGCGGGGCAGGGGAAGTGATGAACTTCCAAAGCCATGCGCTGATCACATGCACTGCACGCACGCGTCCCCCCTACAAAGCACACTGCCACGTGACGCTGAGGACCAACCCTCACCTTCAACACCCGAGGAACTCTTGACACACCCGGCACCCGCCCGCCCTCATGTACGTAATTGCACGACACACGAAACAGCTGCCGACCTTCCTTGGATGCTGGGTGCTGATCGGTATCTGCGCGGCTTCGATGTCGACGTCCGACGGTGCTATTCTCGCCATCTCCACCGTCCTCTCGCACAACATCGCGCGTAAGGTATAGATCAAGGGCAGCACACCCAGGCTATCGAGTTACGATGGCTAGTGGTTTCAACGGTACCCTCGTTCAAAGAGTATCGTCCTTGACCTCAAGGCAACAACTGCTCTTGACAGGCACTACTTTAAGTCGTTGTGGGACAGTTCGTTGTATCATTATCCATGAGTGATGCCGAATGGTAGGCACCATGAGTGTAGCATGAAAGCCAACTCGCGGTTTGCAGGTAAGGACCTTCTCTGTCTCCCGGCGTCGTGTCCGGCCTGCTCTGTTGCTAACCAATATCACCATTCTATGTGTTGTTTGTTGTGTACCCTGAGCACCAACTTGGTCGTCGTCATATCCCCTTGTGTACCCCATTGTATGCTCCAGGCCATTCCCGGAGGTGACCGGTTCAGTGACGTCAAGCTGCTCACGATCGTGCGCGTCAGCATCATCCCCGTAACCTTGATTGCTTGTATCGTGGCTTCAACATACAATGAGACTGGATGTGAGTCAAACAATCACGTTCTTCGGCTGTTCTTCTGTCTCCCTGTCTCTGTTCTTGGTCTTGGTTTTGCGGTAAAGCCATTGATACTGAAGCCTGGTGGGTAAGGGGGTACGCCGGGCTTTCGTCTCCCGTGAGATATTGATTTGATCGCAAGAATGGAAACACTGGCACGCGTTGATGATGGTACACGAATCTAAGGCTCCAAACGTCAACTATGATGGTACCCATTGGTTTTGAGCTCGTCAACGAGTGAATGCCAACAAGAGCGACACTCACAATCGCTGCCAGGATGTTGCTGTTGTTGAGAACATAGGATGCTGTCACGATAGCGGACGATGAAATCGATACGATGATGCTGGCGCGGCGTTCGATCGAACTGATGGTCGTTGTCTCAACGATCGTGACGCTTCTTGTGCGCAGACCTATTGATCGTGGCCTTCGACATCGTGCTTGCTGGATGCATCGCCCCCCTCTTCGCCGCGATCTACTTCAAGAAGTCGGTAAGCGAGCGAGCATCAGCACAACAAGATCTGTTTTCGCAGAATCGCATGTGTGGTCACGGGCAGTTGCCGTGACTGCACCGAGCGTGCACCTTGTGCGATACACTCCGCTGGGGCGTGTCTACCCCTCTATCCCACCATCAGGTCTATCGGATAACCGTCCTTGGATGCCGGTGTCGTCGTTGACTCAACACTGCGATTGAGGATGAGTTCAAGCATTCATGTGTACTCGTGCGCCTGCCCGTCGTCTAGACATATCTACGCTGGCCGACTTGGCCCAAGTTTTGGCTACAGCTTGTGACCATTCCATACCATGCCCGAACCATACCACACCGCGGTCAAGACGAATTGGGTCTCCCGCGGCGAAAAAAACTTTTTTCAAAAAAACGCTTTTGGTTCTAAGTCTAAAACGACGTTTCAGCGCATAGAAAAAAGAGAAATAAAAAAAAATCAGTTCGGATCATGCCGAACTTTTTTTTTCGGCGCATTCCCGATCTCGCCGCCTCCATTTCTCCTCGGCAATCGACTCCGCTTGGCCGATTTAGGGGGGGTAGAGCCACTCAGAAAGTTGGTCTGACCAAAAGTGGCCGCGGGAGGGGGCCATATATGAGTGGGGCTGGGGCTGGAGCTGGCATCCCAGCGGGCAACTGCATCCGCATCGTACCGCTGGGAGACAAGCAGTGGAAAGTAACGCACCAATGGGTTCCACACGACCTAGGCCTCAAGCTCACCACCAAGCTGATGGACCAGCGGAAGGATACCCGCGTTGTCGTACAGCTTGTGGCCTACCCCAAGGATGACGAGGATGCCTTATGCTCGAAAGCTAGGGAAAAGGCCGAGGAAATCTTGAAGACGAGAAGGGACAGATACGAAAAAACACTGCAGCCTAGCAGCGGCGTGCGAAGATGCGGCAACACCGGCAGGAGGGCAGACAGCGAGATGAGCTGTCCAGTGAGAGCGGCGTTGCCGCGGAAGACTCGTGCTGGCGTTACAAGGCCGACTGCTC